GATCTACACTATATATATATATATATATACATATATACATATACATATATATACATTTCTTCCCAACTGAGCCACACATTTTGCATGGCTGTTCCTAAAGCTGGAAACACAACTGACCAAATAGCAATAAAAGTGCTTTATGCTAATGCAGAGCACACCTAATTAATAAAACAAATGCAGCTTGAACACATTTAGACAAAGAAAAGCATCCATATCTAATAACTCCTTCACTACAACCTCGACAAAAATTATCATGAGAAAAACAGAGCAAGATTCTGGAGGGGAACATCTACAGAAAGAATTAACCTTGGGCAGAATTAGACCCCCTGTTGGGAAAACGATCTGCAAGTAGTTCATGTGTAACCATAAAAAATGTTTTGGAGGCCTAAAGTCCAGAACTGCTTCCCACAGAGTCTGCAAAATGAGCTGAAGAGCAGAGTGGTGGCATGGAGGGCTGCCAAGCTGCAGACCTGCTCCAACATCCCAAAACAAGACAGAAACCAGGTCTGGGAGCAGCCTTAACACTCCAATGGCAGAAGGTGAGTCATTTTAGATGTTTTCTGTTAAAAAGCAGGAATTAACATATCTGTATTTTACTTTTCTTTATAAAGTAAAAAAAAAAAAAAGAACAAATGAGATAGTATAAAAATATAACCTTTAAAAAACATGTCAGACTTATTTAAAACAATTGTTTTAAAAGAGTTTTGGAATAATAAAGTTTTAATTATTTGCCATCTCTACCGTAAATGGTAAATAAAACGGTATAAAATACACCTCCTGCATGAAATGCAACCCCCCCACCCCCCAACACACACGCACGCACGCACACATACACGCGTCCTTAAGAGTAAAAGTTTTAAACTAAAATGCCCCACAATTTGTTAGCCCTTAGAATGTGTTTTCGTGATGGACTTCAGCTACTACCACACCAAATCTTAGCTCAGTATCTGTAAAAAGGTTTGAACTACTGTACAGCCATTTTTGTGTACACCAAGGTTGATTAGTTGAGGCAGCCATCTTGAATTGAGTCCGAATGTTTTTCATTTCTAGATGTTCATCCAATATTTTGTAAGAGTTCAGTGCAAATCTGTCCAATGGTTCATGAGATATTTAGCTAACAGAGTTGTGCCGACACTGCAACAAAACTGTACACAAAAAAAATCTTAGCTCTTTTGAAAGATTCACTAAATGTTTAAAAAATGAATCAGGTTTGGGTTTAAATCTTGGTAATGTTTTTAGAGGTGAAGCCCTAAAATGCTGGCAACATCAACAGCATGCGACGTGTTTTGGTACTACAGCACTTTGGTTGGCTTTGTAGCCGTTTTAAGTGCTTTATAAATAAAGTGGTATGGTATGGTATGGTTTTCACATCCCACTGCCTTTTCATGCAATCTGAACCCTGACAACTCTGCACCTCTTGTTTTTATAGGTCAAGGTCAAGGTTCTTTATTGTCGTTCGCGTCTCACGTGGTGGAACGAAATTGTGTACACAGGGTCCCAGTTACATCCAACAAGTTTTTACCTTAATAAGGAATAAAGTTGTCACGTTATACAGCACAATTGTCTGAGCAGGCAGCAGAAAAATAAACGTTGTGTACAAACAGTCCATCCATCCATCCATCCATCCATCCTCTTCCTCTGGTTCCAGAATCAGCAGCTTGAGCAGGGAGGCCCACACATCTTTCCACAGTCACCTCTTCTGGCGTTCTCTTCTAAGACATCCCCAAGCCAAGAGACAGTCTTTCCAGCATGTCCTGGATCTTTCCAGGGTGTCTCCTCCCAGCTGGACATGCCTGGAAAACCTCCCTAGGAAGAGGTTGGCTCCTCTGGATGTGGAGGAGCAGCGGCTCAACTCAAGTCTCTCCTGGTCCTGCTCTGTTCAGCCACAACCCAAAGTTTGTGACCATAAGTGAAGGAACGTAGACCAACCGGTAAACAGACAGCTTCGCCTTGCGGCTCCGCTCCCTCTTCACCAACAGTCTGCAGTATTGTGGAAGCTGCACGGATCTGTTGTTGACCTCCTGCTCCATTACAAAACTTGAACTCCTCCACTTGAGGCTGAACCTCACTCCCACCCTTTACTGAGGATCATGGCCTCAGATTTGGAGGTGCTGATCCTCATCCCAAAGATGAGGAGTACAGATTGTATTATTCTTATTTTAAGAACTTATTGTGGACAGACCTGGTAAGACTGTTAAAAACTGATGGCCTGGGTCTTTAATACTTTTCTTGATGTTAAAAGCCTAAATCAGATAAAAAATACAATTTACACCATTTTAAAAAAACACAAAATGAAAAACAACAAATATCTTGTCACAGCTACTATTGAAAATAAATTGCAGTCAGTTATACTGCTAATTATGTCCTTGACTAAAATTGCAATAATTAGGACAAAAATAATATTTGCTGGTCATCTGTGTTTCAGCAGAAACTACTTGTGCAGTACTGTGTATCAAATTGCCCTGTAATTTAAACTGCTTATCATGAATGTGACTTGTGTATTTGAGGCTGAATAATGGCACCTCTGCAGAGGAACCATCATTTGGTTTGCATGTGGTCTTTGAGGAAACCATGTGACCTAAGCCAAAACAAAGGCTCTGCCAAAATGTGTCGGTGCTGTTTGTACATTTCCATCCTCCACAACGGGAGTGGGGAATGGTAAACAAAGAGAAGCCGGGGTGCAGATGGGGGCGTCAAACAGGTCACTCACATTAGCAAATTTTTGCTGCACAAGAGTCCATTTTACCTGAGAGGTTAGTTTTATTGTTTCATTTAGTTCTAGTGGCCTCAAAAGCCTCCAGGAAACTTGTTGATCAGTCAGTCTGGATATTCTCATTGTTGCTTTTCTGATTATTCGAGCACAAATGCTGCCCCCTGGAAGAAAGAGGTACAACCTGCATTAGTTTAAACTTTTATTTGATTTTTTTTCTTCACTCTCACAAAGGTCAGCGTGGAAAACCAGAAACAAGAATCTCATGAATCCACTGTTGGTCCTGAATCTGAAATTTTCCTTTACAGCTTTTGACTGGTGTGTAAACAGTACTGGAAAAAAAAAAGTGACTGAAAACTCACCAACTTGATTCACAGAAAAATATAAAACTTGTCCACAACTCCAGCCTGCTCCATTTTTACTTACTTGATCCTAAAACACAAGTGACTAGAACAAAAACAACAACAACAAAGCAGTCCAAATAAAAGTTTTGCTGTTTAATACCTGGCAGGGTTTTACTGGTGTAATGAGATGAACAGAGACGTCCAGCAGAAGCTTTGCACACAAGCCATGGCATGATATCACTGTCCATGAGACAAAACTCCTTCCCAGTGCAGAATACAGTGGAAGCCTACAAACCCATTACAACAGCACCTGGGGTTGTCAAAATGGACGTCTGATAACACAGCAGCCGTCTCCTCCTGCAGAGTCAATATCCGGTGAACTCGGCTTCAGTTCTGAATCATTGGTGTGCCAGCGCATCCTGGTTTGACCTGAGCACAGTGACGAAATGTCAAGGCTAGTAATCTGTCGCAGACATCACTGCCTTCCCAACTGACTGGGCCTCGCCAGTCCCTTGAAAACTCGTAGCTTTCCTGCTCCAGTGAGATCAAAGCTGTAGTTTGTGGTGATGTAAGGCATCTCTCCACCAAAGCCCAGCTAAAACACAAGAAACACAGCCCAAAGTTAAAACAGGAACAAGTACCGATACATCAGCAATGTGTTTAATCTGCCATCGGACCTGCGCTGTGAAGATGCATGAAGGCAATGAAATGGCCCCCAGAAGGAGGCAGTTGACCTTCCTGAGGGTGGAGGGGTCCATGGGAGTCAGCAAGAAGTACAGGCCTCGTGCCGTGTCGATTCCTCGAAGAATACCTGGAGGATAGGTTAACACCCTGAAACTTCAGCTCTACAACTCTGGCTGCGGTACAAACATGACTGTCCAACCTCTTTGTCCTAATATTGTTTTACCAATTGTTCCAATTTAGTAGGAATAACATCAAATAAATGTGGACAACGTTAGATATACTTGATGTATCTCACGTTGTTCTGTTTTAAATGACTAATTAAAAATAATACAGAGAAAAGTCAGTAATAAACATGGCCTGATTATTGGGATTTCTTTTTTTAGGACAGGGATTCTGAGAAAGAGCTTTTTATCAAGAATCTTTATTGTCATTATGCGCTAGCACAAAGACATTTTGTTTGGTGCTCGCGACTAAATATATATTCACACATGCAGAAGGGTACAGAAATTAATTTACACAATTTGCCAAGCTTGACAAAGTAGCAGCAAGTTGTGTGGCAGTAGTGCATTCAGCAGCAATTAGATGCAGAGTTGATGTTGGTGTTACAAAGTGCAGCAGTCCCAGTCTTTAGGTGTGAGTGAGTGAGTATGGACGTGGGACATGTGAGTGGGGGTGATAGATTTCACAGCCTGAGAGAAGAAGCCATGTCTCTGTCAAATTTTATGAACATTTCTTGTTACCTGAAAGCACCTGGCAGTGTTAGAACAGGAGAAACAGAACGTGGTCTGTGAGAAATGTTGCTGCATGTTTAGATACGTTAGACTGACAAATGACACACTTGGCTTTAATTTAAAAACATGATTAAAAAAGGTGCCATATGATGAACTAGAAAATTAATACCATACCAAATGGCATGCAATTAGGACATGGTGCCGGTTGCGTTTATTCTGGTGTCTGTGCCATTAGTGTTACATTTTACTCAGAGCAGTGGTCATTATTCATCTTTAACATTAACATTTTGTGCTGTATTTATTTTAAACCTTAGTATCTGTATGGACTGACATATAGTATTTATTTTAACTTTTATTTGAGTCATGAGAACTCATTTTCAACAGAGACATGTTTAGGGAACAGATGGTGGGGGTTAAGGGCCTTACTCAGGGGCCCAGAGTGGGACAAATGAGGGTAGAGGCAGGTGTGGGTGTTTAACCTTTTCCACCCAAATTTTGATGTTGACGGTATCGAGAGTTGAACCTACAACTTTCCAAATCACAGGCCCATCTTCTCTAACCTCTGCGCCACCACTTCCCTAAAGCCTGCTGTTCTAACCACAGGCTGCTGAACATTGCTCAGGTCAGGTTCTTCACTCGTCCATGTTTTCATAGTGTGCTGTTATATTGTTGTTTAGTTTCTTCTGTTTGTTTGTTCTTCGTTGTCACGATCAGCACCTGAGGTGTGACCGATGGACAGAAAAAGTAAGGCTATGTTCGTACTGCAGGTCTTAATGCTCAAATCCAATTTTTTTGGGCTCAGATCAGATTTTTTTTTTTTACGTGGTCATTCACATCATCATTAAAATGTGACCTCCATCAGACTCCAGTAAATGGTAAATGGACTGTACTTATATGGCGCCTTTATATCTTACTGAGATACTCAAAGCATTTTACACTACAATCTGTGTCCTCATTTACCCATTCATACAGCACTCTACTAGATCTCTACAAAGCTAATTGAACAAATCATTCTAAAGAGACTAATCAGAGCTTTATCACATTCATACACCGATGGGACACACATCGAAGGCAACAAGGGGTTCCGTGTCTTGCCCAGGGACACTTTGGCATGTGACTGCTGGTGGATTCAATTAAATTCAAATTCAATTCAAAAACACTTTATTAATCCCAAAGGGAAATTATTTGTTGTTGTAACTCGTTATCCTCATTTCATTAAGAGATGTTATAGATGCTGATGGCTGTAGGCAGGAAGGATCTCTTGTAAAGGTCCATCCCACAGTGGATCCTAAGAAACTGGCTGCAGATGTCGTCAGATCCGTCCACCCAGACTCAGCTGGCCTCTCGGTTCCTCTGGGCTGTAGGACCGCCTGAATGCTGGGCAGAACTCCTCCCAGAGCAATGGTCACTCCTCCCAGCAGTCTGCCGAGCTCCTCGTTGCTGCGGACAGCCAACCGTAGGTGCCGAGGGACAATCCTGTCCTTCCACTGTCATGAGCCGTGTTTCCTGCTTCTCAGTGGTCAGGCACTCGAGTACAGCTGGCAGGTAGATGAGAATGCGTCCACAGAACATCCTTTCAAATCATTTGAGATTTGGGGCTGTAGTTGAGATATAATTTGAGCTTTTCAGATGTTAATCAGCTGCTGTTGGTTGTAGAAAACTGCCTTGTTGCCATGGTTACACATCATAACAAATGTCCAAAACTAAAAAAAAAGTTTCAGTAAAAATCCTTCCAGCTGCACAGCATCTGATACCAGAGGAAACAATCATCCAAAAAAATGTGATTTACATCCAGAAAAAGAGGAATTAAAGTTTCCAAAAGCAAAATCTCAGAATGAAAGTAACAGAGCTGCTCCAACATGCAGCCACCTTGAGCGGCGCAATTCTAGAACCCCCAACTCTTTGCAATGGAGGACGACTGCTCCAACCACTCAGCCACAGCCGCCCAGTGTGAACTGCTAACAGTTCTGATGCGACCGCATGTGCAGAAGATGTGATGTCACACAAGGCACGCTGCATTTCAGGAAGTAAATATGGATGCTACATGTTAGCATGTGTGATTCTGACATTATGTAATCAGAACAAATTAAATTATCATCTAATGTGCTTGTTTGTTCCAGTGTTTACATTTCATCTCGTCTTTTGACAGCTTCTCCAGAGCAGAATTGTATTTTTGGAACAGGAGCGACTGACTGAAAGTAGAAACAAACCCAAGTATTGATCCCACCACGTTAGTATCGATAAGTGTTGCTGTAGATTCTGGCATCCAGAACATGAGACTGAAGATGTGATGAAATACAAGAATTAAACTGCACGAGGTTCGTATCATTATTAATACTTGGATCGATCTGCTCACCCCTCCCTCACTGATGTAATCAGATGAAATGAGACATGGCAATTCAGACTGAGGTCACTTTGAAAAACATCAGATCTGATTCAGAACCACAAAGACCTGGGCCTGGACATGAAGCAGGGATTTATAAATGATTTGCTTCATTGTTGAAGTGAAAAAGCTTTCTGGTGCTAAAATGTTCAGAGTTAAAGTCAGGAGAAAACTATAAACCTGAACACTTGTAATACTTAGCTTTATTTGTTTATCATTAAACATTACATGAAGTCATTTTTCCAACTTTTTTTTTCCAAAGAAAGATGTTTGTTTTTGTTTGGATTATAGGGGGAAAAAAAAACAAAAAAACTTAATAGACAGCACATTTCCTTTTTGTGTTTAAATTCACTTTATCACAGTTTAGAGTTTGACACAAAAAGTTTATGGATCAATATTTTTGATGTTTCTTTTTAAATGCGTTTTTTATTATTAATAAATTAATTGAGCTGCTCCTTTTCCTTTTACTGGTAGAACGTCCTACTAGAAGTAGTGACAAATGATGAGGGAGGAGTTTAATATTTTTCCATTTTTCAATAAAAGGATCAACATTTACAAGTCCCTTAAAACAGGCAGACTGTCAAAGCAATAAAAACTACATTTACAATCAACATTTCTGTCTGGGCTCTGGAACAAGCCTGGCATGTTTGCATCAGCTGAGTGGTTTCCCTCACAGCTTGATCTGAGCGGAACCTCCAGCTGGTGTTTTAAACGGTGTTACAGGTAAGATACAAGTAAAGTGGTACAGACCTACTGTTTTCAAACACACAGGACAAGATTTAAAGAAAGAGCAAAGTAAACTAAAGTTGGCACACAAGGGAAGTCAGGCAGGACATACCAAAGCCCACGCATGGACAGATGGGTGTCTGGGACAGCAGGACTGGACCTCCTTTGCTTGTTACCTTCTCTGCCAGGCAGCAGAGTCCCACCAGACTGGCATTGGCAGCGTAGAACATGTGAGAGGGCGTCACGTCACAGTGGATCACGCCTAAAGCCACAGCTGTATTAGAAACCTGTGTTCAATAGAGCACAAGGCACATGACTCTCCCATCCACAAACCATTATACACCAATCTATAGCAATGGCCTGGACAAGCAAAGACCTTGTATAACCTTTGACAATGATTTGGGACCTTGACCTTGGAGCTGGGGGATAAGTGTACAGGACACCGTCTAGTGATGATGCACAAGTGTATGGAATTTTGTTAAATTATCTGGAGCAGATCAGAAGTTATGGGTGGAACAGAGGAAGTTTACACACGCACCAATGGAGGCTATATTATAATATGTTTGCCTTTCAACAGGAATATATTCACTGTAAAAAACTATTGTAGTTTTCAGAAAATGTTCAGAAAAAGATATGAAGTCAACATTTCTGCAAAACAAGCAGTGAATACACAACTTAAAAATGTTGTCGTGATAAACAAATCAATTGCATGATAAATGAAAATGATCAACCTCATTTTCATTTTATCGGCTTCATCATTTCTTCGTCTTTCTCTTTCTGAAGACAATGGATGACAAAAGGATAAACTCCGGTGCTCTTCACTGCAACCTCCCTTTTTCTTTTCTCTTTAAAATCCGTTTTAACCGTCCAAAATGGTGTTTTTGGATGATTAAAAGCTGAGAAGCTAAGCTACGAGCTAAGCTAACAGTCCGACCTCAGAAAAAAACCTCCATCTTGTCAAAGCTCCAAAAGTCACGGTTGAAACCTGTACCTTCATGTAAAAAGTTGTATTTCTCTGCAAAAAGAAGCTGAGAACTTGTTAACTGTTTTTTTTTTAACGAAAAGCTTTGTGTGAAAAATGCTATGCTAAAGAGCTCATACCACACAGAGCGTCCGCCATTTTGAGAACCAAAAAAAAGGAACGAGATGTCCATGTCATGTCAAGGGGCCTCCCTCCCATTTTTCTTAGAGAGACAAGCTGCTCACACCCTCACTATCTATCCTTCGGTTCAAACAGTCTTATACTGCCATCTTGTGGTCAAAAAGGTACTACACACAAAATTAACCAAAATTTATTCTTAAATTTGACAATAATTACTAATTAAGTCAAATTTCAAACAACATTATCATTTATCGCACTAATTTCTGAGACAATCGCCCAGCAAAATCTGTTATACAGGCCTAGTGGAGATTATCAGTAAAGTTGTTTGGCTCATCGCCATCAACACCACAATCTTTTGTGAAATCTACTAAAAACTAGAATAACTGAGCCTGTGTTTATCATCTACCTGGTATGGGGTGAGGCTGTGTAGAGGTTGGACTGGTCCCGGGTCAGGAGACTGAAGCTGACTCAGGTAGGCCAGCAAAGACAACTCTCGTTGTTCATTGCTGCGCTGGTGCTTCCTGTTTAATACATTCACATATAAAGATCAGTGTGGAAGAACGAACACACGCCAGCCTGAGTCTTCACACCATCTACGGTTAACTCACGCGGTCCCTTGACGAGCTACACCCTCAAACTCTGACTGTACAATGAGGTGAGAGAAGGTTCTCGGGGGGCAGTGGCTCTCTATGAACTCATCTAGAGCAGTCTGAGCAGGCGGGTGTGTCTGATAGCCGTGTGTCGTCCTCAGGAGCTCTGGAGTGAAGGCGGGACACTGGATGATGCCACTGTGACCAAGCTGGACCACATGTGTGACAGGGAGGAAGCGGATTATGTCCACCAACAGCTGGAATCCAAATCCTGCGGACACCAAGAACACATGCATTTCAGTGAAATATGAACGTCTTCGTATCGTTTCGCTGTTGTCACAGTGCGGAGATGCAGCTGACCTTTGACCCAGCCCATTGTGTTGATGATAATGGGGATCTCTCTGCTCTGAGACCGTTGACGCCACAAAGACTTCAGAGACTCCAGGTAGCGGTCCAAGTCTGGCTCGCATGATGACTGACCGTAGTAGATCATGTGCTCTGGAGTGTGCTGGTGTGTGAACGGAGGACCTGAAAAAGCAGCTCGGTGTGAAGAGACGGCACAGGACGGGGCATTTCATACGTGTTTAAAACGGATGCAGAGCAGAGAAGCTGATACCACTCCTGTAGTCAACGCTCACACCTCGCCCTGATAGATTCAGATGGTATGAAGATGTGACACGTTAACGTGCAGAGATTTAAAAGTTCAAGTGTTTTTGTAATGAAAAAAAACCTATCAGTTAACACAAAGTTTGTTTTCTCAGTCATCCAGGTATATAACAACAAAAAAGGTTGAATCATGTCATCTGGACTTCGTTTTTTTTGTTAAAAAGAAACGTTTCGCCCCTCATCCAAGAGGCTTCGTCAGTCTGAGGCCTAGCCATCTGGTATTACCCA